TAAATACTGAATAGCCTCCGAAGAGGATGTATCCATTTTAATCCCAAGCTTTGAAAATGGTATTAATGTTACCTGTATACATATGTATATTTTTCCGGAAATGTATGAAATCTAGAAGGACATTTAAGAAATGTACAAAATATTATTTCAAAGATTTTTTTATACACATATATCTTGGGAAATGTATACATTTCCTAGGAATTGGAAGAAATTTCGATATTAATCTAGGAAATGTATAAAACTAATACTTTCTGTGAATAATATACTATACCATATCACCAGGGGCATCCCGAGATAAAAATGTTCAGTCTCTCAGAGTCTCTGAAAGCGAGACTCGAGTCTCCGTCTCTCATTGAGTCTCTCTGGTGTCGCTGAGAGAGACTGTCTAGAGACTGTCAAAAAAACTGTTTAGTGTCTCTAAACGAGAGACTCGAGTCTCTCAATTTTTTAGTTTTATTCATTCGGTCTCTCTGTGAGAGACTCGAATCTCTCAATTAACAATTTTAATCGTTAGAGTCTCTCATACAGAGACTGTGAGAGATCTATAAAACACCTAGGCAATAACTGAGAGACTGTAAAAGATTGTGAGAGACGCTGAAAGACTGTAGGGATTAAATAGACTTCAATCTGTCATAAATATTTACAAAATAACAATATTGCGTTCAATTCCTAATTCCTATTGACTTCTTTGATTATTTTTCCTTCCCAGTGATATTCTAATCTTTTATTTTTTCCTCTTGATTTTCCCGATAAAATTTTTGACTTGTCTGATCTGTATTTAATTTAAGCTCTCTTTCTTTTATACATTTATTAAATTATCGAAGCATTTCTTTCAGCCCTCTTTCGTTGTTCGGTAGTAATACTATGTCATATGCTTCCTTCTTCATTTATCGCTTAACTTATTATAATGTTAAGAGGCCTAACTGTTATCCATCAAATTAGGTTTGCGTAGGGCGAACTGATTTATCCGAAAGTTGTAGGGAAGACCACTTTGCCTAGATCAAACTAGTTTATAAATTTCAAATCCTCGCAGTTTAAACTAGTCATAACCTAATTGTTTATTCATGTTTTACTAATTTCTTATTTCCTTTTAATATTGTACGCCTTTTATAGGATAGATTATGAAATTTTTTAAATTCTGGTTAAACCTAAAAATTTTAATTTCTTTAATATTTTCGTATACTGCCAAAGATTTAATTCTCTTTTCAGACTAGATATTCAGTAGTAATTAATGCAAAAGACAAACGATTCTAACTTTTCAATGTCAAATCTATCCTGAAATATTGAAATTTCTTCGATCAATCATTTATTGAATTAGTTATCGATAATATTAATTAATAATTTTAAATCTAACGTAAAATAAGCAAAACAATTGTTACAACTGTGTTGTTTAGCACAAAGTTTAAATTACATTAAATAATCGTAAAGTAAAATAGACAGTTTTGGAAAATCTGAATAAATTTATATTTTCTTTAGGCATTTTCGAGATATATAAGATTAATTTTTTTTTTATTTTTGTTTCTCTACCGCATTGAATGTTCTTCGTGTCTCGGTTCTTCGATAACGCCAGCAGTTTTCCACCTCTACTTGCCGTGGCTATCAACGTACGAGGGTGGATTGATAAGTTTCCGGCCTAACCAAGAGATGACGCCACTAGGCCTACCTTGAGGTGACATTCTATAGTACCATCCTTGGATAGCTTGTAGCTATAGTTTCAGCCCGATCTCCTTGCTAGTGTAGGTTTGACAGCACGCTGAACAAGACGCCTCTGTGGTTTTCGTAAAAATGGAAAAGCAGGAAAATCGTGCTGTCATCAAATACTTTTATTTGAAGGGGTTAACGCCGAAGGAAATTAAAAAAGAGATGGACTCAACACTGGGGACATCCTCCCCGTCATATTCAACCGTTAAGCAGTGGGTTTCCGAGTTTAAAAAGGGTCGTGTGAGCACCTCTGATGGGCCTCGCTCAGGACGCCCCGTTGAGGTCACAACTCCAGATATGATCGAAAAAATTCATCAAATAGTGCTGGGAGACCGCAGATTGAAAGTGCGTGAGATAGCTGAGACCTGTAAGATGTCATATGAACGTGTGCAACATATTTTGCACCAACATTTGCATATGGAAAAGCTCTGTGCAAGATGGGTGCCGCGTTTGCTAACAGTCGACCAAAAATTGATTCGAAAAAACATTTCTACCGCAAATTTGTCATTGTATAAGCGTAATCCAAGCGAATTTTTGCGTCGATTCGTAACCGTTGACGAAACGTGGGTCCACCACTACACTCCTGAAACCAAAGAACAGTCTAAACAGTGGATTGGACCAGGGGAACCAACTCCAAAGAAGGCAAAAACAATTTTTTCGGCGAACAAGGTTATGGCTACTGTTTTTTGGGATGCAAGAGGTATTATATACATTGATTACCTTGCAAAGGGTAATACTATCACTGGTCAATACTACGCAGACTTATTGCAACGTTTGAGCCACGAGGTGAAAATTAAACGACCTCATCTGGCGAAGAAAAAAATCTTGTTTCATCACGATAACGCACCAGCGCACACGTCAATCGTTGCGACGGCTAAAATCAACGATCTAAAGTTTGAATTGATGCCGCACCCTCCTTACTCTCCAGACCTAGCCCCGAGTGACTATTTTCTGTTCCCTAATCTCAAAAAATGGCTTGGCGGTAAGAGATTTGCGGACAATGAAGAAGTAATCGAAGCTGTAAATGGTTATTTTGAGGAGCTTGACGAATCAGTCTATAGAGATGGCATTAATAGACTGGAACACCGCTATGAGAAATGTATCAGCCTTGGAGGAGATTATGTTGAGAAATAAAAAAAAAAAAATTTTAAAAACCTTGTTTTTCTTGGTCAGGCCGGAAACTTATCAATCCACCCTCGTATGTACGTAGTGGACTGGAAAATTACGCGATAACTCGACGTTGGTTGTTGGTTTCAGTGTGTTCACGTTTACAATATTTACCGCATTAGAGATTTTCGAAAATATGTAAGAGTTTATGTCGGTTCGACTAGTGAATTATGTATTAAGATCAATGAAAAACATTTTATTTTCGTGTAAACAGCTGAACTGTTATGAGAAAGATAATTGTGTTGTTATCAAGCGAGAAGGAGGTGTACATGAGTATAAGGCTATGGATGTTACAGCTTTTGTGATTAAAAATTAACAGTGAAAATTGCCTTTTGGTGAGTCATTAAGATTTAATTTTTATTCTCAAAATTTGCCTATCACTTTTGATTTGTTTTTCCTTTCATGAATTTTAGTTTATTGAGAGCAAACGGAAACTTTTTAAAAGCTGAAGGAAGGCTTTGTTTTAAAATTAGTCATACATGAAATATTCCGTATCGCAGTGTCAAAAATTTTGGTATATTATCTTACGAATAACTAAAGTAGATTTACTGAATATTTTCATTTTGATTCTGGTTTGGGGCTTATTGAGATACACGATACTTTTAAATTATTTGGGGTACCTATACCAAATAATTTTAGCAAAAATTAATTAAATCCGTATTATTTTTTTACCCAAAAGAACACAAATAATACTTCGTATTCAAAAGGCATCTTGTTGTTTTGCATCAAAAACTGTTTAACTCGTTTAGGTTGTTATTATTCATAAATTTTTAATAATAATTTTTTGACATTTATAGCGGTAATGTGTTTATTTAAATTCAGTTGTTTTACACTGCTTTATTTGTAATAAAAGAAAAATCGTTCTACAAAAAACTTCGATTTATCATTTAATTAGTGTTTATAGGGCTAGAAGTTGAATTATTTGTAAAATTGTGAAGAAAAAATTGTTTAAAACTTAGCTCTCACAGCATATTGAAGCAGCGCGAGAGGTATAAGAGAACGGCTAGTTGATTACATAGACGGTAATAGGGTTATATCTCGAAGGTTATTGTACTGCCCGTGCACTGAGTGGCCATAGGTGTACGCAGGGTTCAGGAAGTAGCTGGAGAGATATGCCTAGACGTCGTATATTACTAATCATCCGGCTGGGCCAGGCTAACGCTCTTTATCGGTTCATCTTCAGCTACCTACAGCTTTCAGTTGCGTTCATGCGTAATATGGAAGTTGTAGGTGGTTGCGGATTAATCGATATATGGGGGGCCCTTGGTTACTGGGATGGTTTTGCTTTTTTTTTTAAAAAATTTAAAACTTTTACACAGTAATTAAGCAACCCTTTAAATTTAGTAAAAAATTGTCAAGAGTGTTCCAGTTTGTCCTAGGCGATTATTAATTTGTATTAT